GAAAAAATTTCTTTAAATATGGGGGCTTTTATTAATCAAGTGCTCGGATTACGGCTGCTAATAGCAGCAGTCAGAACAGTGATGGCACCCAAGACTGTGCTATTGGACAATAGTGTCGTAGCAACAGCAAGCTTGCAGCTACAGTAACGGTGGCGGTCATAGCAAGTCGTACTACCTCAAGTAACATAAGGACCGAAGTCCATTCCAACGCAAGCGTTGAAAAAAGGGTCCTACAATCCAAAACATCCTTCACATCGATCACTTTGCCGGAAGGCTGGGACGAGGAGTACAGAATCCCGATCCGCGTCATCACCTCTCGGGCGTATCATGCTCTCTTCATGCAGAACATGCTGGTTCCGCCCTCGAAGTCGGAGCTGTACCAGTTCGAGGCCAGCGCTTTCCCCCGGCCCTTCGTGATCTTCAACGCAGGCCCGCGGCTCTGGGGTTTGGGCTCAGGCCGCTTAGGGCAGGGGCCCCGGAAAGTCGGAGAGGCTCTGCTTTGTTACAGGGGTTTAGGGTTTAGGGTTTAGGGTTCAGAAGTCCCTGACACTGTGGTGTTTCAGGCTGCTTCCCATGCAACCGGCACACCGCGGGAATGACCTCGACCACTTCCGTGTCTTTGTCGCTCTGCCGGGGGGAGATGGTGATCCTCGGCACGCAGTACGCCGGGGAGATGAAGAAGGGAGTCTTCACGGTGATGATGTATCACATGCCCTTGCGACCCGAGCGGCATCTGGGCCCCGCAGAGAGGGCCTTGCCACTGCACTCTTCCTGTAATGTGGGCCCTGAGGGAGATGTCTCCCTGTTCTTTGGGCTTAGTGGCACTGGGAAGACGACTCTCAGCGCGGACCCGGCGAGGAAGCTGATTGGGGACGACGAGCATGTCTGGACGTCCAAGGGCGTCTTCAACATCGAGGGCGGCTGCTATGCCAAGTGCATTAACCTTTCCCGGGAGAAGGAACCCGAGATCTACGATGCCATTCGCTTCGGCAGTGTGCTGGAGAATGTGGTCTTCGATGAGTGGAGCCGAAAAGTTGACTATGACAACGTCTCCCTCACGGAGAACACACGCTGCGCATACCCCTTGCACTACATCCCCAATGCGCTGATCCCGGCAAAGATCGACAGCCACCCAAGCAACGTGATCCTGTTGACCTGCGATGCCTTCGGTGTGCTACCGCCGATCTCCAAGCTCACGAAAGAGCAGGTGATGTACCATTTCATTTCCGGCTACACCGCCAAGGTGGCCGGAACCGAGATGGGTGTTACGGAGCCACAGGCCACCTTCTCGGCTTGCTTCGGGGGCCCCTTCCTGGCCATGCACCCCTACCACTATGCAGAGATGCTTGCAGCCAAGTTAGAGAAACACGGGGGCCATGCCTGGCTTCTGAACACCGGCTGGGTGGGTGGTGCCTACGGCATCGGCGAGCGGTGCCCACTGAAATTCACCCGTCAGCTGGTGGATGCCGTGCACGACGGCACGCTGGCGGCCCTGGAGGACGAGGACTGGCAGCCGTTCACCCAAATTAAACCCTACTCGTCAGGTTGGGGATTCTTTTTGCTCTTCGTGAGTTTCCAGGTTGCTGCTCCATTAAAGGCAATCGCAAGGCATGGGAACGTGATACTGTTTTTGTGGCATTTTGACTGGGGCCACCTGCTCTAGGAGTAGGAGTAGGAGTAGGAGTAGGAGTAGGAGTAGGAGTAGGAGTAGGAGTAGGAGTAGGAGTAGGAGTAGGAGTAGGAGTAGGAGTAGGAGTAGGAGTAGGAGTAGGAGTAGGAGTAGTAATAGTA